GTATGATAGCGATGTATCATGTCCAATTGTGAACAACTCTATTTCAGGCCATCACATTATTCGGATGCAAAGCTCCCGAGTCTTTTAGAGCTTTGAAAAGGTCGCATGATTTATTGCCGAATGACACGATTAACTTTGCAAGTCGACAATAAAAACAAAAGTACATTAAAACACTGACATAATCAGCTTTTCACTTCCGGACCAATTTAAGATTTCTTGTTTTGTTGCAAAACATTTTTTTTTATTGACATTTTCCTCAAATGGAAAGACAATGTTCTCTTATCTCCGTATACAAATAATGGACTGTGAAACTGTCAGTTGTTTACCGAGATTCAATATCGTGGAACCAGGCTAAAATCAAATCATGCGTAAACACAAGATATTGGGTCGATTACTTCTAAATTTAATCGATTAAATTACGACTACATCAATAAAATTTATATTACGATTACAATTACATTACTCTTTTTTTTTTTAAACTTTAACCGATTAAATTACAATTACTCTGAAAGCAATAATACGAAAGACCGGTGGGGACATTTCAACTTCATGAATTCCTGATTTCAGCTTCATGAATTCTCTATTTCAACTTCAAGAATTCACGATTTCAACTTCGTGAATTCACGATTTCAACTTCATGAATTCACGATTTCAACTTCACGAATTCACGATTTCAACTTGAAATCGTGAATTCGTGAAGTTGAAATCGTGAATTCGTGAAGTCGAAATCGTGAAATCGTGAAGTTGAAATCATGAATTCACGACGTTGAATTCGTGAAGTTGAAATCGTGAATTCATGAAGTTGAAATCGTGAATTCATGAAGTTGAAATCGTGAATTCGTGAAGTTTAAATCGTGAATTCATGAAGTTGAAATCGTGAATTCGTGAAGTTGAAGTCGTGAATTCATGAAGCTGAATCGTAAATTCGTGAATTCCGTATTTTGAAAACTGGAATGCACGAAGTTTAAACTGTGAATTCATGAAGATGAAATCGGGAATTCATGAAGTTGAAATGGCCCTACCGGTCTTTCGTACAATAACGATTACTTTTCATTGTGTTCATAGCAGTAAACATATAATAATAATCTAAATAACACTGACATTTGTATTTACATAAAACATGTCCACAGCTGAAGCACACATTTCGCAACATTTTACAAAGTAACCGGGATGACTGACATGTTTCTTTAATATATGTGGGTTACATTTTATTATTATTAATTTTTCAAATGTTTATCACTCAGTCTACAAAGGATCTTTGAAAGACATTGGTCTACAGCGCTCTGAACGAAACATTTTTCTAGTTATGCTCAAAGTCGCTCAACTGGGGCTGATGACTGCATTATGATTTTGTTATTCTTTTAGCATCTGGTATAAAGAAACTTAGAAGCCACAACACTTGATCTCAGTGCAGATAGAATTGAAATAACCGCAATATGTGCTATATAACAGAAAATCATGAACTGGTTTTTACTCTTCTATTGAGTGATTATACCAATTATCTGCAATAAGAGAACAGCAAACTAGGTGTTATTGTACAATGTAAGTTATTGATTTCACAAATACTTGTTAATGCCTCAGGCAGAATATAGAAGCTGTTTGTTACTGATAACAAAAGGTGTAAATATTCGTAGGATATAATTAAGTCATATATAGCTCAGTTTTAAATGAAACTTTTCTATTTAATAAATTTCACTTTTAATTGAATCTGTTCAAAGTAAATCTAGTTAACACCTAGTGCAGTAACAATATCATACATATATTTGCACTGGTATATAATACAACAGTTCCATTGTGTTTCTATTGTTCTTTTGAAATCATTGTTGTTGTTGGAATTCGATAAAAGCAATCATGAAAGAAGTTCCTAGTTTGTGGCCACATGTTGCAAGCATTGACTGAGCTATATATTATTGAAGCGTCAGTTATATATTTAAGCGCAAAAAGCCGTCCGGTTAGCTCGATAGAGCTTTGGACTGTGAATCGGACGACCCCAGTTCGATTCCCAGTCGGCGCAGGTCAATTTCGTTATGATTGATCACAGTCATTTGCACTTACATCTGTTCTTGCACATAAAGCGCAAACCTGAGGCACCATGATATAACATTCTTTTTCCCCTGTGTTTGTTGACCGATTTTTTAAAACCTGATCTATTTCAATTTACCCATATATTTAGAATATATATAATGTTGCACAAACACAGTGAACTTTATCTATTAAATATATGCGGTGAACGAATTTCTAACAATGTAAGGAGAGATTATTGACTTGCTGTGACAACGAAGTTTAACACTCGTGCAAAATTTTCCATAACATTGTATTTTTCCTGAACAACTTCTTCATATATTTTGTGACTACTGACGATCAATTATTTGTATAGACAATTAAGATTTTAATTATTATGCTTTTTGTCTGCCAGTTATAAACTAATGAGGAATGACAATATCTGATTTTGACCGCACTGTTCGCTATTCCGTCAGTACTCATCGTGAAATTTTCCTTAAACAAGAGGGTCAAGATGGCCCTGGATCACTCACCTAAGATACATTGTGTTGCCATTTTTGATCTCAGGGGTATGACAATTTTTTCATAGAGGACCATGCTTTATGTGAAATATCTAAACTCTTGGCAGTGTACTTTCAAAGAAGATTAAGTCCATAAAATTAACTGAATCATAGGGTGGGCCAATTTTACACCCCAAGCCATGATTTATGTAACTTTTGAAGAGGATCACAAGGTGGTGTTACATGCTAAATTCTGGTCATCGCACTTGCATAGAAGGAGGTTTTTAAGACATTTTTACTGTATAAGTATATTTTAACAAAGTGTCCTCTGGGTCGGGGCCAGTTTTGACAACAAGCCACGATTTATGTTACTTTTGTGGAGGTCCACAATATGATGCTACATTTTAAGCATCAAAGCTCTAGGCATTGTAGTTTTTGGGGAGAAGTCTTTCTTTTATATAGTTTTACCATACAAGTCTTTAAATCAAGCCAAGGCGGGACAAATTTTGACCTCGGACATGATTTTTAGCACTCCTGTCGAGTTCCACTTCGCAATGCTACATGCCAAATATCTCAGCTCTTTGCATTGCAGTTCCCTATATAAGCCTTTGTACACAAAGTGACCCTTAGGCCGGAGCTGTTTCTTTACCTAAGGCCTTTATACAAGAATTTTCAATATGATCATTTGTGAAATCAAGTGATGCTTAGGGTGGGATAACTTTGAACCAAGAGGCATAATTCAAACAAGTAAGGTGGAGAGACACTTATATCATAAATGTAAAAAACATACAGTTTAGCAAAGACAAATGACATAATTATAAGGTATGACCAAGTTTGGCCTGGAAGTCATCATTTGGACTAACTTAATACAGTTACACAGCTCCATACTAAATATATAGAAACCTATTTAGACCTTTGAGATTTAAAGCAAGAGGGCCACGATGGCCCTTGTTCACTCACTTGACCAATCAAACTCATTAAAGCAATTACATAGACAAGCATCCAGACCAAGTCTGATGCCAATTACAGACATTTAATAATCCGAAAAAAACTCACCCAGACCTAGCTCAGGTGAGCTGAAAAGTGATGATCAAAGTACAAGTTTGTTGATGGCAACGCCCACATTACTGACACAGCAACTCTATTTATAAAAACAAAACAAAAACAAAAAACAATTGATTCCTAGATTGCACACCTGACCCATTAAACTCATTCGAACAATTACCTAGACAATGTCGTGACCAGGTTTGATGACAATTGAGTCAAAAAATGTGACCACCAAAATATTAACAAGGTTTTTCCATTTTTGAGCAGTGTGACCTGGTTTTTGACCCCAGGTGACCCATTTTTGAACTTGACCTAGAAATCATCGAAACAAACTTTCAGACCTACTTCCAGAATAATTGGATAACAACAGTAGCCACTAGAGAGGTAACAAGATATTTTCTATTTTAAGCACCTGTGACCTAGTTTTTCATCCAAGATGCACCATGCTTTAATGTATCCGAGCAATTACCTAGACAAGCGTCCAGACAAAGTTTGATGACGATTGAGGCAAAAATTTGACCACTTGATTGTTAACAAGGTTTTTCCATATTTAGCTGATTTGACCTAGTTTTTCACCCCAGGTGAAACATATTCGAACTTGGCCCGGAAATCATCAAAATAAACTTCCAGACCAATTTCCGGGATTTTTGGATCACAACAGTAGCAACTAGAGTGTAAACAAGATTTTTCTATTTTTAGCTCCGGTGACCTAGTTTTTCATCCGAGATGCCCCATGTTCCAACTCATCCGAGCAATTACCTAGACAAGCATCCTGACCAAAGTTTGATGATGATTGGGCCAAAACTGTGACCACTAGATTGTTAACAAGTTGTTTTTAATATTTGGGCAGTGTGACCTTGTTTTTGACCCCAGATGACCCATATTCAAACTTGACCTAGAAATCATCAAGACTAACTTCCAGACCAATTTGACCAATGTTCAGGATATTTGGATCAAAACAATTGCCACTAGAGTGTCAACAAGATTTTTTATTTTTAGCTCTAGTGACCTAGTTTTTCATCCAAGATGCCCCATGTTCGATCTCATCCAAGCAATTACCTAGACAAGCATCCTGACAAAGTTTGATGATGATTACGCCAAAAATGTGACAGCTAGAGTGTTCACAAACAAATGTGGACGGACGAAAGAGGACAGACATTCAATGATCCTAAAAGCTCACCCTGAGTTAGCTCAGGTGAGCTAAAAATATCCTATGATTTAACCTTCTTAAAATTTAGTTCTTCCCAAGATTAAGGCAATAATTCGAACATTCTTGGTAGAAAATCATAAAGAGACATATTATATATCTTAATTGTGTAGTTTAGAAGAAGGGGGTTTATAAGACTTTCCTATATAAGCCTGTGTAAAGTCTAGTGACAATCAGCAAAAAAACCTTTCATTTTTATAATGAAAGTGTAACATAAATACAGAACAATGAATAATACATTCTCAAATATTTTTCAATTATATTTTATTAACAATGATGTGAAAGAAACATTTATGAAAGAGATATATGGTAAAGATTTATGATTTATTAAGATAACAATAACCAATCAAGCAATATGATACAAAACAAATTAGATAAATCTCAAAATATAATTTTGAAACTAGCATTATTTAATTAACTTTTTGTACTTCTTTTTTCTCAATGGTCTCAACTTCTATGCATTTGACTTGATTTAATGTGGTTTTATGTGGTACCAACACAGTATAGGTCATATAGCAATGTTCCAGTTTTACTGGTGAAGGAAGACTTCAGGTGGCCCTTTCAAGCATTATTTCAGGTAGAAACGGACACTTCAGTAGAACCAACGATGCTCAGTTTAATTGTTCAACAAAATACACAAATCTGAATAAATATCTATCTATAATCAAATAGTTTGTTTACATCATTTGCTTTCATTATTAACCAGTACGCCTATTGCCAAACAATGAAAGTTCCCAACCAGACAGGGCCTTGTCACACTAAATTAACAGAACAAAAAACCAAATTATATTCACATTTCAAAATACTTACTTAATGTACACTTATGAAACACTGTTGCCATTGGCACAAAATACATGTACCCCATTATAACAGCTTTTAGTCAAGTTTTATTAATAATGGATATCAAGAAATTAAAGTAGGAAAGCAAGTTTGACTATTTTTAGTGTCTGATAGTGAGACACAAGGTTTATATGAATTCTATTTAAGAAATAATATATCCCCAACAGTGATTTTATTTAGCTGTTCTGAGTTTGTATGTAAGGAATTTCATTAAGAGAGCATAGCACGAGTAATATAATGTTGCACATCTAAATGATAAAGAGTGATTTTGTTAAAGCGATTTGCATTTATCCTTAAAGAATACTGAAAAAACATAAAACATAACTTTCCAAAAAAATTATATATCCACCTATACAAATAACAAACATTTACAGGCAACAATAACAAAAATTTCCTATATATCACAGGTTTTTGACTTTCCATTTAAACATAGTAAGGTAAAGATATGTATTGTTATAAAGGTGGTCTCTTAAATAAGGTGTTTTTGTTACATTATCGTTTTAATGGAAAAATATTGTTTAATTTTGCAGAAATTTCCACCCAAGTTTCCAGACAAGATTAGTAAAAATGAATTAATGCAAAAACAGTTAAAATGTGATCAGTAATTTACAAAAAAAAATATTTAAACCTGAGTTTACCAGTTGACAGATTTTCCCAATTTGACAGACCTGATCGTGTTTAAAAAAGTGTGAAAAAAAACAACCTTGAGATTTTCTCCAAACATTATTAGGGAACAAACTATCAGTAACTGTGTAATAAGTCTCAAAATTTACAGCTGTTTCATTTGTCAATATCAAATCTGAAAGCTAGAATTTATAAATCAATTGACTGGTTTCCATATTTTCTTGAATACAAAACTAAGTTCATTTCATGGTATGATGGATGCCCAGTCTCAAGCAGGAAGTACTGAGAAGTCGAGTGTGTTGATGCTCATGTCAAGTGCAGCAAACATCCGTGAATGATCAAATGCGACAGAGTAAACAGGACTCTTCTGAGACAAGTTATACTTCTGAAACAAGAAAAAAGGTACATGTCTTACTTGAAATATCATCATTTGAAAACAAACTGGCATGTTATGTTCTCTGTTTACTAAGTCTGAAAGTCTTTGCTTATATATCATGTTAAGCACTTTTTCTGGGAGAAACCAGAAATGGCATGTCTTTCAGGACAATGTTAGTCATGTCATGTTTGTAGGATTTGACCTCCCTTTTAAAAATTTTCAACATACCTAACCTGTACAATTTAAAGCCTTTTACTAAACAAGAGCTGTCAGTAAGACAGCTTCTTCAACCATTCTTATTGCTTGATAGTAAAACAAGAGCCTGGAAAATATACACTTCTCAAAGTTCAAAAAGGGCCACAATGTCTTTCAAAATGGACTGGAACATTAATCTCCTACTATACTCTCAAGTAAGTGTGTGAAGTTTCAATCCATTTCCTTCAGTAGTTTTGGGGATACCAGCTTGCTTGCAAAAACTTAAACAAAGTGTGATGCCTTGGTGAGTACAAAAACTAGGAAGGTGCCTATAGGACACAAATGCCATAACATTTCACTGTTTAGTCAGTGTACTGATGGACAGTGTGGCATTTTATAGACAAACAAGAACAAATGTATATCTTCTTTTCCAATGAGGCTAGAGAATAAACATTACTTCAAATTTTACCATCTATGTATCATAGGTTAAGTTTTTTTCCAATTAATCTATAGATTTTTTTCTGTGAGCTTAATGCAAAGGAGCAATAATAGTTGTATACAGCTAGTCTAGCCTTAACATGCTTGCTGTCTGACCAGACACATGATATCTGCTCTATTTCTAAATTTAACATTCCTAAAGTTAACAAAATTAATGCATATTCAGAGCAGGTCAAATTCATTGGAGTATGGAAAAACACACACAAACAAGATTGCATTTGAGAAAAATGCTATGCCACCACATTAATACAACACTAAATAGTAGTGTAGGAACAGATTTTATTTGTTTCTATACAATTGAAGATTGTCATAATGCATAGATCCCTGACCTATCTTATTCTTATTATCAGATTAGTGGTTAAATCTATTGTTAACTCAATAAAAGATCAGAGTAGGAATATATCAATGCACTTGAGTCTAGTGAATTTGGTGGTGAAGGTCATATTTCACACAGCCTAAATTTCATGACTACATCAAAAGACAACACAGTAAGACACTTTGTCAAAATCTAGGTATGCTGATATCAAAGTTCACTTTACATCTTAATCTGTGCACATGGTTCAAATTTCATAGCTGTACATCAAAGGACAAGAATGTAGATCACATCATCAAAATCTAGGTCACCTGATATCAAAGTTCAATTTTACAACTAAAACTGTACACATGGTCACAATTTCATTGCTGTACATCAAAGGACAAGAAAGTAGGTCACTGTCCCCTTGGGCAAGGCAAAATTTTGACCCAAGGGTTTAATTCAAAACAATCTTGATACAGGTCCACCAAACAACATTTCAAGTCAAATATCTAAGCTGTAGCTTTCTCCCATTCAGAAAACATTTGTTTAATTTTCTGTTTTTAATGATAATCACTGCCCCCGGGCAGGGCCAATTTTGACACCAGGGGAAATATTTGAAAAACTTTGGTAGAGGACCTATAGATGATATTATATAGCAAACATCAAAGCTCTATGCCTTGTACCTTCAGACAAAAACATTTTTTTATTTTTTTACTATATGTACATAATGAAAATCAATCACCCCCGGGGCGGAACCAATTTTAAAAATATCTTATTCCAAACTAGTTATTGACCGGAAACCTATTTTCTATTTTTAGTAACAGGGACCTGACTGGAAACAGATTTTCTATTTTTAGCAACAATGACCTTGACCATGACTCTACAGGACCCAAAAGCAGGCAGATGAGCTGGCAGGCATGCAACAACCTAGATAGTTTCTGTTTTATAACTAAATAAAGTTGGTTGTGTTTAATAGGATATATTACACTAATAATTAAATTTTATGGAAAAACAAAGGGCCATAATAAGGTAAAAGGTAAAAACTTATCCAATCATAAAACCCTGACAATACACATCAGGGCATTTGAAGATAAAGCTAATCTGTGAAAATTTGAACAAAATCCTTTGAGAAATGTAGAAGCAGTTGCACAACAGAAGAAATTGTTCACTATATACTCTATATAAGGGAAAAAAAACAAAGGACCATAATTACTTAAAAAATTATCCAATCACAAAAACCCAACAATATGCATCAGGGCACTAGATGACAAAGCTTCTGTGAAAGTTTGAACAAAATCCCTTGAGAAATGCAGGAGTTGCGCACAGAAGAAATTATTCACTATATATTCTGTACAAGGAAAAAAAACAAAGGGCCATAATTAGGTCAAAAATTATCCAATCACAAAAACCCCAACAGTATGCACCAGGACACTTTATGACAAAGCTTCTGTGACAGTTTGAACAAAATCCCTTGAGAAATGTAGGAGGAGTTGCAAACAGAAGAAATTGTTCACTATATATTCTGTATAAGGAAAAATATAAAAGGGCCATAATTAGGTCAAAAATTATCCAATCACAAAACCCCAACAGTATGCATCAGGACACTTGATGACAAAGCTTCTGTGAAAGTTTAAACAAAATCCTTTGAGAAATTTAGGAGAAGTTGCGCACAGAAGAAATTGTTCACTATATATTCTATATAAGGGAAAAAACAAAGGGCCATAATTAGGTCAAATATTTTCCAATCACAAAACCCTGACAATATGCACCAGGGCACTTGATGACAAAGCTTCTGTGAAAGTTTGGTCAAAATCCCTTGAGAAATGTAGGAGGAGTTGCGCACAGAAGAAATTGTTTACGCCCGCCCGCCCGTCCGCCGGCCCGCCAACATACCTCAATCTAATAACCAGATTTTTCCTTGGGAAAACCTGGTTAACAATCTGGGAAGAGGTCTACCAGACAATGCCTTATGCAAAATATCTAAGCTCTAGGCCTTTTGGGTCTTTACAAGAAGGTATTTTTAAGTTTTTACTATACGTACATATTGTGAAAATCAATGACCCCAGCCAGGGGCAGGGCCTATTTTGACCCCAGGGCTATAATTTGAACAATCTTGGTAAGGTTCTACCAGACAATGCCTTATGCAAAATATCTAAGCTCTAGGCCTTTTGGGTCTTTACAAGAAGGTATTTTAAGTTTTTACTATATGTACATATAGTGAAAATCAATGACCCCCCGGGCGGGGCGATTTTGACCCAGGGCTATAATTTGAACAATCTTGGTAGAGGTCTACCAGACAATGCCTTATGCAAAATATCTAAGCTCTAGGCCTTTTGGGTCTTTACAAGAAGATTTTTTAAATTTATTCTAATAATCCCTATAATCATAGACTTTAATAATGTGCAGTGGTATTTTCTAAAGTGCATTATTTGCATAAATCCCTCATTTTATCTTTAAAGATCCTGTAACTCATTTTTTTGTTTAATATCATAAATATAATACTCAAATGAGGATTTATCAATATTGTAAGTTCCAAATAGCATTATTTGTTAAGATATTACCCAATTTACATTTTCATGTTAATAAAGGGAGGTAATTAGAAATTTATTTTCTATAAAGTCTTAGTCAAATTTTTCAATCAGAAATTATGCATATATTTTAATAATTACATATAATGTGGACAAATATTTGCATTTCATATTTTACATATTCTTTGATGTTTGAAAATTGTTTTTTTAGAAACATAATTATATACATACGAGGTATGTTCAATTGTTATATTATGTTTAAATTTAAACAAATGTTGAAATAATTTGAACAGTTTTTTCATGGGGTAAAATGCGGGTAAACTTCTATTAATATTTAAATGACATAAATCTGAAATCTGATGTCATTTGGATGTTAAATGGCTAAACAAACAAGTTTTGAGCAGTAGTGAGCAGTAGTGAGTAGAGTAATTTGCAAAATATGAAGCTCGTTTAAAAACTAGAAAGTCACACTTTCGGAAAAATTTGCCAACACATTGCGGATACTCATTCATCTTCATATAACGTAGTTAAATTATAGAAGGGCAATGAGCCAGTGATCAAGTCTCTTGGTTTCAGCTGGCGCAAGCGACTCAAAGACGAATAATGAATAACGAATACATGATCACAGACAGAGAAAGCACCAAATTGCCAGGACGTTAGTAACGCCAATTGCACAAGTTCTACAGGAGGAAAGACAGCATGAAAGGTTTGCGAGTTGTCCGGCATGTTTAATTTTTAATTTCTGTATTGCGTTTAGACATTCAATTCTGACGAAACAATTGAATTTTAACAATATTTAATTTTATTAATCAGGATATATGCGTATTTACAATAAATAAATGTAGTAACTATTTTTATAACAGTTTTTTTTCTTATTTGTTTTATAATCAATGCTAGCTGGTGTTTAGTAGAATTACCGCAGATAATAATTGTCAGTTGATAAAACGTTTTTCTTTATTGTTAATTATCACATTGTTAATGGCCGGACCATTGTGGTTTTAAATTAATACTATAAAACAGCAATTGAATCAAATTGATAACACTTTCCGTTAAGTGTCATGATAACTAAAAAATTGCGATAAAAAGCAGAAAGTGGTCTGTTCTCGGACCATAAACCGGGAGAATGGAGCAAAAAGGTAAATGCTTTCTTTCTCGCTTCATCATTACAAACAGAAAAATGGTTATGGTTATATGATACGGAGACATGGCACGTGTGAAAGAGTACTTTTAGAAACAATGACGCTGGTGACATTTTTTATTCATATTTTGACGTCATGAACGTCATTTTGTTTTATCATGAGCGTGCGCCAGGTCGCATCCCAATTGTTATTTGTAACATTCACAGAATTATTATTTGTAAAATATTAATTTTTTCAGTGTATTTTAAGGACAAGTTCCAATGTTTGTCTCTTGTAAAATATTGTATGCAAGTTAAACAAGATTGCATTTGAGAAAAATGCTATGCCACCGCATTAATACAACACTAAATAGTAGTGTAGGAACAGATTTTTTTTGTTTCTATACAATTTTGAAGATTGTCATAATGCATAGATCCCTAACCTATCTAATTCTTATTATCAGATTAGTGGTTAAATCTGTTGTTAACTCAATAAAAGATCAGAGTAGGAATATATCAATGCACTCTAGTCTAGTGAATTTGGTGGCGAAGGTCATATTTCACACAGCCTAAATTTCATGACTACATCAAAAGACAACACAGTAAGACACTTTGTCAAAATCTAGGTCAGCTGAAATCAAAGTTCACTTTAAATCTTAATCTGTGCACATGGTTCAAATTTCAAAGCTGTACATCAAATTACAAGAAAGTAGGTCACATCATCAAAATCTAGGTCACCTGATATCACAGTTCAATTTTACAACTAAAACTGTGCACATGGTCAAAATTTCATTGCTGTACATTAAAGGACAAGAAAGTAGGTCACTGTCCCCTTGGGCAAGGCAAAATTTTGGACCCCAAGGGTTTAATTCAAACCAATCTTGATACAGGTCCACCAAACAACATTTCAAGTCAAATATCTAAGCTGTAGCTTTCTCCCATTCAGAAAACATTTGTTTTATTTTCTGTTTTTACTATGTGTACATAATGAGAATCACTGACCCCGGACAGGGCCAATTTTGAAACCAGGGGAAAATTTGAACAACTTTGGAATAGGACCTATAGATGATATTATATAGCAAACATCAAAGCTGTATGCCTTGTACTTTCAGGCAAAAATCTTTTTTATTTTTTTACTATATGTACATAATGAAAATCAATGACCCCCTGGGCGGAATCAATTTTGACCCCAGGGCTATAATTTGAACAATCTTGGTAAAGGTTCACTTCGCAATGTCTCATGCCATATATTTAACCTCTAGCCTTTGTCAATTCAGAGAAGAAGATTTTTCAATTCAGAGAAGAAGATTTTTCAAGTCTTTACTTTATACATATAAGGAAAACTATCGCCTCTGGGGCAGCTGGGCAATTTTAACACTAGGGGCATAATTAAAACAACTTTAGTAGAGGACCCATAGATGATATTATATACCAAACATCAAAGCTCTAAGCCTTGTACCTTCAGACAATAAGATTTTTAAATTTTTTACTATATGTACATACTGAAAATCAATGAACCCTGGGGGTGGGGCCAATTTTGACCCCAGGGCTATAATTTGAACAATCTTGCTAGAGGTTCACTACATAATGTTTCATTCAAAATATCTTAACTCTAGCCTTTGTAAATTTAGAGAAGATGATTTTTTAAGTTTTTACTACATATAAGGAAAACCTATGGCCCCCGGGGCGGGGCTAATTTTGACACTAGAGGCAAAATTTGAACAACTTTGGTAGAGTACCAATAGATGTTATCATTAAACAAATATTAAAGCTCTAAGCCTTGTACCTTAGACAATTAGATTTTTTACTATATGTATATATTGAAAATCAATGACCCCCGGGGCGGGGGCAATTTTTAACCCCACGGCTATAATTTGAACAATCTTGCTAGAAGTTCACTTCACAATTTTTCATGCAAAATATCAAACCTCTAGCATTTGTCAATTGCTACGAGAATTTTTTTTAAAGTTTTTACTATATACATATAAGGAAAACCAATGACCCCCGGGACGGGGCCGATTTTGGCCCCAGGGCTATAATTTTATCAATCTTAGTAGAGGTGTTCCAGACAATGCCTTATGCAAAATATCTAAGCTCTAGGCCTTTTGGGTCTTTACAAGAAGGTATTTTAAGTTTTTACAATATTTACATATATAGTGAAAACCAATGACCCCCCGGGGCGGGGCCGATTTTGGCCCCAGGGCTATAATTTGATCAATCTTGGTAGAGGTGTTCCAGACAATGCCTTATGCAAAATATCTAAGCTCTAGGCCTTTTGGGTCTTTACAAGAAGGTATTATATGTACATATATAGTGAAAACCAATGACCCCCGGGGCGGGGCCGATTTTGACCCAAGGGCTATAATTTGAACAATCTTGGTAAGGGTCTACCAGACAATGCCTTACGCAAAATATCTAAGCTCTAGGCCTTTTGGGTCTTTACAAGAAAGCTTCTGTGAAAGTTTGGTCAAAATCCCTTGAGAAATGTAGGAGGAGTTGCGCACAGAAGAAATTGTTTACGCCCGCCCGCCCGTCCGCCGGCCCGCCAACATACCTCAATCTAATAACCAGATTTTTCCTTGGGAAAACCTGGTTAACAATCTGGGAAGAGGTCTACCAGACAATGCCTTATGCAAAATATCTAAGCTCTAGGCCTTTTGGGTCTTTACAAGAAGGTATTTTAAGTTTTTACTATACGTACATATTGTGAAAATCAATGACCCCAGCCAGGGGCAGGGCCTATTTTGACCCCAGGGCTATAATTTGAACAATCTTGGTAAGGTTCTACCAGACAATGCCTTATGCAAAATATCTAAGCTCTAGGCCTTTTGGGTCTTTACAAGAAGGTATTTTAAGTTTTTACTATATGTACATATAGTGAAAATCAATGACCCCTGGGGCGGGGCCAATTTTGACCCCAGGGCTATAATTTGAACAATCTTGGTAGAGGTCTACCAGACAATGCCTTATGCAAAATATCTAAGCTCTAGGCCTTTTGGGTCTTTACAAGAAGATTTTTTAAATTTATTCTTATAATTCCTTTTGGTTGCCATGGCAACCAGATTTCTGCATGGAATGAAATTCTTTGAACAACTTTGGAAGCCCTTCACCCAAGGATCAATCCTGCCAAGTTTGGTTGAAATTGGACTGGTGGTTTTTCACAAGAAGATTTTTTAAGTTCACTATATAATCTATATAACACACACACACACAAACAAACACACACACACACACACAGGTGAATCGCTATATGCCACCGCATCGCAGATGCTGCGGTGGCATAAAAATGTGTACAGTAGAGCCGCTCTCCACGGATTTCTTTAACAGCCCTCATTTATAAAATTTCACTTAAGTGTGAGTAACAACCTTAATTACAACATACAGGATGTTTAATTTGTTCAGCAGCCAATGTCTAGAGATCTCAGTATCAATGGGTTCATTCATATCAACCTCTCTACCATGGTAATCCTCTTGATAAGAGCATGTCATATATCATTGTTAACATTATCATGTAAAGAAAAATTAAAATACCTGAATAGGTTCTGTTTTTCGTTTGTCCCACAATCGTATCATACCATATCTAGCTGTTCCGGTTACCATGGTGTTATTTCTATCTGTCTGTATACAGTATAATGTAGTATCAAATGTTTCATGCCATTCTTGTACACTGAAAATAAAATACAAGTACTATTAATGATACATTTCAGATGGTATCCTTTCTAGACTCACTATGACAGGCTTATCTTATAAATATGATGTCACAACATTACATGTATTTCCTATGTTTTTTTCTATGAATAAATATCTATCCTCTCATACAATAGGGTAATATAAAACCTAGATAACGTTGTTGTCAACACGGTCATCATGATTGATGGTCAACAGTTTTTGGTAAAGAGATGACCAACAAGACTTAATAACCAACAAGAGTTATTTCTTGTTTGTTTCTTTGTTTGATTGGGTTTTACGTCACACTGACTCAGTATAGGTCATAATTTGTATGGAGACGTTCCAGCTTTAATGGTGGAGGAAGACCTCAGGTGCCATTCTGTGCATTATTTCAGGCATGAACGGGCACCTGAGTAGAACAACCGACATTCGGTAAGCTAGCTGGATAGCTTCCTCACATGAAAGAATCAAAAGTCCCTATCGGGATTCGAACCCACAGCCGTGAGGGGCAAGTGGTTTGAAGTCAACGACGTTAACCACTCAGCCATGAACGCCCCAATATTTTTTGTTTGAAGTTGGAACTATTCCTGCAGCAGTTATTTTGACAAATGTTTTATAAAATAATACAGTGTAACTTCTGAATTCCGGAACTTCTAAAATCCAGAAACTTCTGAAATCTGAGCATTTTTCAGGGTCCCAAAGTTTCTCCTTCTGTTTTCTATGTAATCAAAACCTCTGAATTACAGAAATTCTATATTCTGAATTCTGAACCATTTTCTGGTAAAATTTGGATGATATTAATTTAAATTTACTTCCAAAATCCAGAAATTAAAAATGGTGTGAAGGAATATTATACTTGTAATTTAAAAAATCTTCAAAATGTCAGTATCTTCCAATTAACAGTAACCATTTATCTTGACACCTACAAACACTTTTTTTAAAGTGTGAAAATTAAGAAATTAAGAAATAAAATTTGATGAAAAAATACAGGTGAATAGCAGGTACTACATGTATATGAAATATACTAAAGGATAAATTGTGATAATTAACATTATGCTATTGTATCAGCAAATTCAGTAACAAGTGATAATGAAATTTAAAATAGTAAAAGTCTTATAATTTTGCCATTTTATTCATTAAATCAGCTTTATGATTTTTTCATCATGTCCTACTATAAAACAGTTGCTGTGTAATTATTTTACTTGTTCAGATAAATCCGAACTTCTGAATTCTGGAAACTTCCAAATTCCGAACTTTTTGGCTAGTCCCGAAGGTGTTCGGTTTTCAGAAGTTAGAATAATATTTATTATACCATATCCATTTTATCATGTGATGAAAACAATATAATTTTTTTATCATTTCATTTACAAGACAAACTTGCTATCTATAGTCAGACTGTAAAATTCATTAGTCATTTTCTTTGACTGGTTTCGTTTAAGTTAAACCTAATCTCAATTTTTTAATTTCTATTCATATTAGAAGCTTACCAGCTTCCTGAGCGCATGTCCCACATTTTGACAGTTGCATCATATCCACATGTCAACAGAGTATTCTTATCTTCATACTTCATGTCAAGAACTCCCGCACCAAACCGATAACTCCCTAGTGAAAATATATTCTCTGCTCTAAAAAAAACAATAACAAGGAATTATTAACAAATATAGAATTTATCCCTTAAAAACTTTTGAAAATTTAATGGTTTAACATATAAATTTTAAGAACAATAATAAGAAGTGCACAGATTTTTTTAAATGCAGGCAATTCCTTTAAACAAATTACAAATAAGGTCTAAAAATCTATATATAGACAAGCAGATAAGACAATCAATAGAAACCCCTCATGTTATAAGACTCTTATATTCTGCTTAATCATACCAAGCTAAAGGTAATTGGTATTACTGGAATAATTTCCAATGTACTGACCTCACAAGATGGGAAACAGACACATAACACATACCTCACTACATCCCATACAGATAAAGATTAGAATAATCTAAATAACAAAGACCTCTCTACATCCCATACAGATAAAGATTAGAATAATCTAAATAACAAAGACCTTTCTACAGCCCATACAGATAAAGATTAGAATGATCTCAATAACACAGACTTCTCTACAGCCCATACAGATAAAGATTAGAATGATCTTAATAACACAGACCTCTCTACTGCCCATACAGATAAAGATTAGAATGATCTTAATAACACAGACCTCTCTACTGCCCATACAGATAAAGATAAGAATGATCTTAATAACACAGACCTCTCTACTGCCCATACAGATAAAGATTAGAATGATCTTAATAACACAGACCTCTCTACTGCCCATACAGATAAAGATAAGAATGATCTTAATAACACAGACCTCTCTACATCCCATACAGATAAAGATTAGAATGATCTCAATAACACAGACTTCTCTACTGCCCATACAGATAAAGATTAGAATGATCTTTAATAACACAGACCTCTCTACTGCCCATACAGATAAAGATAAGAATGATCTTAATAACACAGACCTCTCTACATCCCATACAGATAAAGATTAGAATGATCTCAATAACACAGACTTCTCTACTGCCCATACAGAATAAAGATTAGAATGATCTTAATAACACAGACCTCTCTACTGCCCATACAGATAAAGATAAGAATGATCTTAATAACACAGACCTCTCTACATCCCATACAGATAAAGATTAGAATGATCTAAATAACACAGACTTCTCTACTGCCCATACAGATATAGATTAGAATGATCTTAAAATAACACAGACCTCTCTACTGCCCATACAGATAAAGATTAGAATGATCTTAATAACACAGACTTCTCTACTGCCCATACAGATAAAGAATAGAATGATCTTAATAACACAGACCTCTCTACATCCCATACAGATAAAGATAAGAATGATCTTAATAACACAGACCTCTCTACATCCCATACAGATAAAGATAAGAATGATCTTAATAACACAGACCTCTCTACATCCCATACAGATAAAGATTAGAATGATCTCAATAACACAGACCTCTCTACATCCCATACAGATAAAGATTAGGATAAGATTAGTAACAAGGACCTCTGCAGCCCATACAGATGAAGATTAGAAAAGATAAGTTTTTTATTAACTACACTCACCTCTCAACATCCCAAACAGACAAAGATGGGTTCCCTTTACACCCTGATGTTCCCACAGTAAACCTCCTGCAAATATATCAAACACACTATTGTATGCATGTGCATATTGGTGGACAATCATAAAAAAAAATTATATAATTAGCCCTTAATCTCAACAACAAAAAAGAGTGTATAATTTAAAAAATACTTTTAAATAACTATTTTCTTCAGGCTAATCTAAACAACTTTAATCTCCATATTTTTTTTCTAGAAATCATTTTCAATTATTATTATATGACTACCAATTTCTCCATGTTGCAGTTGACAGTCGATAGGAAGGTAAACTGATCTAGTGATATTGTTCAAAATAACAATGGCATAACATCATAAAGAATTGCACTAAATTTAACCGTCATTTATTAGAAACAAATCGTTAATCAACCCCAGTGAATATCACATTAGCCAGGTTCGTTGACTGGGAATGTCACCTCATCATGATGCAATAATTGTATTTATTATATACTTATAAATGAAATATTGAGAAATATTGATGAAATAAAATGCATATTTTCATTTTCCGTATTTTCACTGTAAAAATTTATTTTTCACTGCAGTGAAACATATTTTCCGTATTTTCACTGGTGTCTCGCCGGACTACTTTCTTTTAAATTCTGCCAGTACACAAAATTTAAGGGAAAGTCTTTCAAATTTTAATGTCAAAAAAGAGAGAAAAATGTATATAATAAACAGAAAATTCAAGTTTTTTCTAAATACATGATTTATTTTCATCTTGTGGCATGAAAATTACCATATTTCACTCGTGGCTACCGCCACTCATGAAAATATTATTTTCATACCACTCGATGAAAATAAATCATGTATTTATAGAAAAAACTTGAATATCCTCTATTTATCACATAAACCGTGGCACAGGAGTGTAATAAAGCCATTTAATAAAAACGATATTACACTAGTGTAATAACACTTTGACGTGACGTCATTTGCGCTATATAGAAACATAGCGTTAAAGCGCGCTAATGTAAGTGTTACACTATAGGCGCGTCATTGAAAAGTTACTCATTTTAAGATTTGACTGTTCTTTTTTATATATGTGATAAAAAGAATTTTATATTGGTGTAGATTCAATACTAAATTTATTAAACTTGTTGAATAAAACAATATTATGCTCGCCAGAGGCTCGCATAATATGATCATATTCAACTCGTTCAATAAATTTAGTATTAAACTACACTCATTTAATATCCTCTATATCATACATTGTAGTAACTCTAATCAAGGCTTTATCTCAAAAAAGCCCTGTCTGCAATAGTTTGAATTAAGATCTATGTATCATTTTTCAAACAATCAGAAACATGTACACTACTACAATAATACATTGACTTACTGTCCATCTGTTGCCATAGCAATAGACCAGATACGATCCCTCATGTCTATATTAGCCTTGACCTTATTATCACCATCATCTTCTTGTGACATACATAAAATCTGAAACATAATCATCCATGTATACATGTACAAATGTATGTTACTACAGTAACAAATATTCATAAATGTTGAAATACATGTACCAGCTGTGGACACTATTGATATCTATTACACATTATATATTTGTTTATAATACTTCATGATTGTAACATCCCATTTCATTGAATAATTGTAACATTTATATAATCTATACATTTAATCAGTACATGGCTGCTGTTGATTTATGTAGCAATTTCATTCTTTCTCTCTAAAAATTGAAGTTGCAGTATTATTAATTTGTTATAAAGATATTTGACAGGTTACATGGCCTTATATTAGCATTTATTTTCAATACAACCCTGCCTATTACAGATTAGCTATCATTAAATAAAACCTTTACAAGAAAAAGTTAAATGGTCAAGTTTGAACTTATGCACTGTAGGCTTAAATTAAGATACTTGGAAAAATCCAATGAAAATCATTTTTCAGATGAAAGTGATACAGATGCAAATCTCTTTAACTAAGTAGGGCAGATGTATGGTTACTAGTCACAGATTATTTACACTTCCATTAATTTTTTAATTGACCCTTTGTGATACATTTAAGCGTTATTTTTTCAATTGGCCCTAAGTCACATTTATGGAAAACAATAAAATAATGACTAAATTTTGAAATTTTACAACTGACATCATAACATAAATAAACAAAATGGCAGAATCATGTGATTGAAGTAGCTGCAATATGTTGCCTTATTAATGCTGGAGGTCCATTGTAAAGTATAATAACCAAGATCAGATTGAAAACATACCTTCACAGTTCTGTCCCTTGATCCAGATATAATACATGTATCATAGAAATCTACCGTCTGTGTATCAGTCTTGTGAAGTTTGTACATACAATCTAAACATCTACCACTTGAACAGTCAAATACATACAAACTGCCATCCCTGTTTACATAAACACACACATATATATATATATATATAATGATTATATTTATTAATTCACATACCTATTATTTACATATATATTGACATATTTTTACAGTGTATACACTAATATTCTCAGTTTTAAAAATTCAAGTCACTGTGATAAAATCTGAAATAATCTAAAATTGAAAATCATACTCTGAAAACACTTTATAATGTTCTGCAATAATAAAAGAAAGCGTTTAATGGTATTACACTTCTATTTTCATTCCAGTTGTCCCAAATAAACATATAATATACAGTCGATACTGTCAAATATATAACACTCCAAAGGACCTTACAAATAAGGAGTAAGCCAACAAGACTCTCAACATACAGTCACAAAATTCTGTCAAAATGACAAAAAAAATAGTGACGTGAAATAAGAAGGTCATTATACATTGTTGAGAACAATACTGATTTAATTGTACTCATACACAGCACCAAAATCTATATCACACTCTGCTAGCACCTATAACAACAAAATTAACATAGTGTTGACAGCTGTGTACTAGTCAAGTAGAATTCAGTACTATGTACTTCATGTATAATAACCTTATAATATAACTGTATGAAGGGGTAAAATACCATTTGCAATTCAACATTATGTATATTTTATCTATATGTTATTTCATTTTGATGTAAATGAATTAAGTTGTCTTTAAAACATTTATACTTGCATGTACATACAGTATATAATAAATTATAAAATGTATCTAAAAAGAAACAAAGAAGCGATCTAGGTAAATGTGTTTAAAATTTATGCTATTTTAATATCCTACTTTATTCATCTGTAAAACATGAAGACAAAATCAAACATATCAATGTACTTATTAACAAGAACTGTCCGAGGACAGTGACACTCGACTATTCGAAAAGTTGTCACAAGAGTGTTTCGTAGAGTATAATAATGCTTACCTATATGAATACATAAAATTGTCCCAAAAAGTACAAAGGCTTGTTATTAAGATGTTTTGTCGAGTGAATCACTGCTTTATTATTATGAATGCATAAAATTGTTCTAAAAAAAGCAAAAACCCTTCAGTAGTTATGAAGATACCAGCTTACAAGCAAAAACTTTACCAAGAATTTCTAAGCCGAAAAAGGTGCATAATTATGAAAAAAAAAATAGAATTATTGGACTTGTGCCAATCATGTTAAATAATCACAGAGAATAAGTGTGAAACTGTGAAGTTTCAATCCATTCCCTTCAGTACTTATGGAGATACTAGCTTACACGCAAAAACTTAACAAAGAATTTCTAAGTTGAAAAAGGGGCATAATTATGCAAAAAAGCAAATCAGAGTTATGGGACTTGTGCCAATCATGTTACATAATCACAGAGAACAAGTGTGGGAAGTTTCAATCCATTCCCTTCAGTGTAGTTATGGAGATACCAGCTTGCACCCAAAAACTTAACCAAGAATTTCTAAGTCGAAAAAGGGGCATAATTATGCAAAAAAGCAAATCAGAGTTATGGGACTTGTGCCAATTATGTTACATAATCACAGAGAACAAGTATGTGAAGTTTCAATCCATTCCCTTCAGTAGTTATAGAAATACCAGCTAGCAAGCAAAATCATAACCAAGAATTTCTTTGCAAGCAAAATCATAACCAAGAATTTCTAAGTCGAAAAAGGGGCATATGTATGCAAAAAAGCAAATCAGAGTTATGGGACTTGTGCCAATTATGTTACATAATCACAGAGAACAAGTGTGTGAAGTTTCAATCCACTCCCTTTAGTAGTTATGGAGATACCAGCTTACACGCAAAAAACTTAACCACAAGGACGCCGACGCCGACAAATGGGTGACTGCATTAGCTCGATTATTCTGCGGATAGTCGAGCTAAAAAGCTTAGGCAAATTTACAAGAGGGTATAATACACAAAAGTATTTTTTAGGCTACATGGCAATTCATTGTTGTAAAAGACACAGACAATGATATTCCTGCTGATGTGAAAGAAAAAAAAAGATTTTTTTCTGAAGTTACAAAATAACATAATACTAAGAAGTAGAATATAGCTGAACCTGTGTTTTGGCATAGCAAATTGACAAACAAAATATAAATTTAATCACTGATATCCTTCAAAATGTATCCTGCATTTTGCAGAAACAAGCAGCTAAAGAGAGATAACTCAGAATCAATAATAAGTTGACTTCAGAGAAAGTTAAACTCAACATGTGTATTGATAACATACATGGCAAATACAAACAAAATAATTGAGAACCTTCAAAAGTTATACTGCAGAGACCAATTGTCTACAGAAAGATTTTCTTCTTAAATGGACTAAGGGGCCATTGTCTTTTGTTGTGTAGAGGGTCATGAACCATATTCTAATGAAATGGAACAAAGTCTATTGTTCTTCTTTGATCCATTTACAGCTATATAGCTACCTCTTAAGTACGCATTGCTAAGACAGACAGACAGACAATGCTATACCATAATACATCCCCATAACACATTTTTGGGCATATAAACATTTAGCATGTCAAAATTACTCTGTTAAAATACCTGCATCCACTGACAGCAATGTCATCTTTGACCACAAATCTGCTCACATCCTTATTGGTGAGATTTGGATACTTTCCGTTCTCATCTGTAGAACATAGTTGCCTGCTTTCCTCTTGCCTTCTTTTATGTTGCTGGTCCTGTAATGTTAGATTATGTTTCCTGTCTTCTCGTAATTTACCATTATTTTGTAACCTATAGCAACGTATTGTGTTACTAACAGAGAACCATAGAGAATCACCTGTTAATTGTATCCATGGCAACTGTCTGAATATAGAAAAATTAAATTTTTATGCAAAAATAATGCACAGCTACATGGTACATTTTTTTTTTTTTTTTTTTTTTTTTTTTTGAAGCCCAAGAGGGAACTTCGTTTATTGTCCCCGTAATAGGTAAAATAGGGTCGGGGATCTATCCAATATTTTACCTTACAATTTATTATAATGTTACAAAAGACATATTACGGGCATTTATATCATACATTATTTTATAATACATACAATATACAGAAGATAAATGTTCTCTTGGGATTCAGAGTATTTCATTTCCACCAAAACTGGATATAATATACACAGACTGTAATATATAAGTAGTTAATTCAAAAAAGGTTCTATCTATTTGCTATCATATCAACTAATGAGTACATAGATTTTTTAACTTTTGTATAACTAACTATTGAAGATGCTAGCTTTAAAAACTGCAGACAAGGCCTTGTAAAGATGGTATTATCTCCCTCCTCTTGCACAAGAATATATATCTTTTTAATTCTAGACAAAAAATATTAAATTGACATTGATCACCTTTTTGATACCCTAAAATAAATGTTTTACAATCAACCTTCCAATCAACATTATGACATTTTAGCAATTGTTGCACATCTGAGATAAAAGTTTTTACAACCGAACATTCCAGAATAAATGAGATAATGTCTCTTTTTCTTCTTTGCAGAAAGTGCATTTATCAGATTGTGTCAATTTCATTTTTAGACATTAAATAGTTTGTTCCTAGAATTCTATGGGTGATTCTAGTTTGAAGCCATTGAAGGTAACTATCATTAGTTTCAGTGTGAACCCATTCAAACAGGTATTTCCACTCAGTATCATCAATGTTAAAATAAGCATTCCATTTTTGATATACATGTAGGTATTTGACAATTATCAATAAAAACATTATATATGGTAGAGGTTCCACTTCTACATAAAAGTATATGTTTTATATAAAAGGGAATAGACGGCAATAATTACATTGGTATTAGAATATTCTATTTTTAGAGACTTTATGTACTTTCTAATAGCACTTTTCAAACCCTCATAAACTAAAAAATTCATATTTGTACCAATTTTTGTTTCTAAATTTTCTTTACTCACAAAAATTTCCATTTTTTTGCATAATATCTTTGATAAAAAAACACTCCATTTTCATACATTGATTTTAACATACACAGGCTTTCTATCTATCAAAATATTATTATATGTAAAACAATGGACAGTTAACAAACTGGTCTATATCTGTTATTTTCACAATATCTATATAGTCAATAAATGCTAACAAAAACATCTTTCAAAAGTAATTGTAACATTGATTTAGATTCAATTTCTACATAACACTTTCCACTGTTAAAAAACTTTGTCATAATTAAAAATGTTACTAATAAATGTGAAACATTTTTTACCACTTCCAGTGAGAAGTCTTCTAAACCATGTTAATTTCAAACTTTTCATATATATGCAAATACATCAATCATTTTTAAACCACCTTCTCTGTAGTTTTTTATTAAAACACTAGATTTAATTTTTGATGGGCCACCCAAAACAAATTCATAAAACATTTTGTTAATATCTTTGAGTATTTGTGTACTTGGGTTTGAAGAGACATAAACAACTGTGTTAGAAGTGGTAATATAATTGACTTAACAACTGTAATTCTACCCAATAGGAGTTAACTCCCTCCTATTCCAATACTTTATGCAATTTTCTATTTTCTTAAATTTTTCTGTGAAATTAATATCTACCATTTTTTCTAAATCTACATGAAAATTTATACCGAGCAATTTAAAAGCTCTGCCACCCCAGTTTAGTTTTCCACTTTGTTTTAATAGATCTAGTACTATATTTTGTTTAAGCCTATCCATATAACATGTGTTTTTTCAAAATTTACCTTAAGTCCAGAATATTTAGAAATGTATAGAGGGTATCTAAGGTGTTATTCAAAGAAGCTTCTGAACCATCTAATAAAAGAGAAGTGTCATCAGCGAACTGAGATACTTTATATTCCACATCATTTATATTGATTCCTTTAATATCTTTAGAGTTTCTTATCTTAATTGCTAGTATTTCAGCACACAAAATAAAGATATACGGACTTATGGGGTCTCCTTGACGACAGCCTCTCCCTATTTCGAAGAAGTCAGAGAGAAATCCATTTAACTGTACAGCTGTTTTTACATTTTTCATAAAAAGAGATATCCACTGTTTAAACATTGGACCAAAATTGAAGAAAGAGAGTGTGTTTTTTATGAAATTAAAAGACACAAGGTATCAAAAGCTTTTTCAAAATCTATCATCAATAGCATTCCAGGAATCTTATGTTTTTCTGTGTAGTTCATGGACATCATATAAATAAACGTATGTTCTCACCAATAAATCTACCTTTTATAAAACCAGTTTGATCAGTAGAAATTAATGAGTCTAAAACTGTTTTTAACCTATTGGCTATTGATCCTGACGCTAATTTATAAACAACATTTAAAAGGGTAATTGGTCGCCAGTTTTTTAAAAATTGTCTAGGCTTGTTATCTCTTTTGGAATGCCAGTAATAATTCCTTTGCTTCTGAGTCACTGACAATTCTTTTCATTTCTAAATCCATAATTTATTGCTCTCAAAACAAAATAACCAATTTTTGACCAGAAAACTTTATAAAATTCAGCTGTAAAACCGTCTGAGCCTGGACCTTTGTCATTTTTCATATTTTTTAAAAGTGTTGACAGTTCAGAGAAAGATAGGAGTCCTTTCTAGACTATTTGATTCACGGTTCTCTTGATAATTTGTATATATCATTTGTATTGTCAAGAAAATCATTAATATTTTTTCCCCCAATAACATCAGCATTACTATATAAATTGCTGTAAAATTTTTCAGTTCTCATTTAATATTGATTTTTGGTCATAGATAAAAGACCCATCTATATTTTGTAGGTATGGAATTATTTTACTAGCATAATTATATTTTTCTAAATTACAAAAAAATTTTACTTGTTTTTTCCCCTCATCTATCCATTGTGCTCTCGATCTTATCATATGACCCCTTATTTTCTCAGTTCTTATACTTTCCAGTTTTGAATGTAAATCAGATAAAGTTTTCTTATTTTCTTCATTTATATTTGTCTCTATGTCTTGAATTTTGGAGAGGAGACTGTTTTCTTCAGAATTTCTTTTTTTGGTTTTGTAACTAGAAAATGAGATGGTTTTGCCTCTAATTTCCATTAACAGGGTTTCTAAAAAAAGTTGATCATCAATACTAAATTGTAAATCTTCATAATTGAGATTTTTCAAACAGTCAATATTATATACTGGCAACAAATATTGCAATATTACATCATCTATCTTATCATTAATACAATTTAAATATTCTAGGTCACATAATAAAGAATTATTAAATTTCCATAAACCTTTCCCATGTACAATATTTTGTAAATCAATTTTAAGAATTATAATAGAATGGTCAGATCTATAGCTTACATCTATATCACAACCTCTAACATGTGGTAATAAATCTTCAGTAATAAGGAAAAAATCCAATCTGGCTTGCTCCGAATTGGTGCGTCTCCATGTAAACTTATGGCAATTACCATTTAATTCTCGAAATGGATCAAAGAGACATTTTTGATCAATGTAATTCAACAATACAGATCTAGAATTTTTGTTATTATTTATCGATTTATAGTTATCATAATCTAATTCTATATTTTGTACTAGATTAAAATCACCACACCAAATAAAAGTATTATTATTTATATCATCTATTAAGCGAAAAATATTTTCATAAAACTTTGGCTGGTCTGTATTTGGGCCGTAGACATTAATTAATGTAAATTGTTTTGAGTTTACTGATAAATCTAAAACAATATAATTTCCATTTTCATCAACAAAGATTGATGAACTTTAAGGTCTAAATTTTGTGTAAATAAAATACCAACTCCTCGAGCATTTGATTTATAAAAGCTAAAAAAACATTCAGCATTCCACTGATTGTATAAATGTTTCTTCATATTTTCTGTAAAATGCAAATCTTGTAAACAAAATATATCTGCTTTGCGATCTTTTAAAAAATTAAACACATCTGACCTCTTTTTTTCGTATCATTAAGGCCTCTACAGTTTATAAGAAAATATCTTTATTTCACCCATTGTCTAAAACAACAATCACAGTTTTCCTTAAAAAATCATGTACATTAAAAAAAAGTTCATATATCAGATATTTTTCCATAACTACGTTATAACATTTAGAATATCCAGATATCAAAAAACAGTTTAAGTGTGGTAATGAAATAAGTATGCGTAAACAGTGTGTTGCCAAGAATAAACAACACAGTGAAATTTATAATAAATAAACTAAAAAATACCATCAAATATAATTAAACAAAACTTAAAATAAATACAATATGGATTGAAATCATTATTGCTAAGTACAAATTAATTTGGAATATTGATAATATACTTAAAAATAACTGCATGCTTAATATACCAATATGTAGCAATGTATTATAACATTGTCACAGAATCAATGTATTAATTTTCTTTTTTCCAAGAACATGGTGTCCTCAAGCATTTATCTTAATTACATCAAAAAATGCTTATATTTTTTACAAACAATTTATATTAACATATGTACTTGCAGGGTAAGACATATGGTACCCAAAAATTAAATACAAGTTCATTAAACCCACATATAGATAAAATTAAAACAAAAAGTCAACATATAAAAATGTCATGATTTACACACACACATATCATAAGATGTTGATGTGTCAGGTACAATAAAATACATTTTAATTCATAGTGGATGATAAATCAGTTTAAACTATATAATATTTGGACTATAATCTTAAAATAACAAAACAGCATCAGAAATCCTACTGGCAACTTCACAGGATGTTGAATACCACATTTTACCCAGTGAGTCTAACCATCCCACTGAAAGTAAAACTCCTCCCCGATTAAGGCGAAGGATAGAAGTTGACCAGCAGAAAAACTAAATACATGTTTATATTAAACCCTACCAAATACATATAAATTTAAACCGTATCATTTATTCTTTTAAGAAACTAGAACTCCGCGAGTCGGATGTGTCGCCTTGTGAACAATGTAGTTTAGGGGAAATGGCCAGGACAAAAATGAAATATGAAAAATAACAAAGGGCAATAACTAAAAAAATAATAAGTGCAGAGCAGCAGTTTCTGTACACTGCACTTCTTATCAATAAGATCTATCATTCTATGATGTTTCAACTCCATAGCTTTCATACTTGAGGAGAAATGACCAGGACAAAAATAAAGTAAGAAAATCAACAAAGGGCAATAACTCAAAAATAAGAAATGCAGAGTATCAGTTCTTATGCACTGCACATCTTTTTAATGAGATCTTTCATCCTATGAAGTTTCAAGTCCATAACTTTTATACTTTCGGAGAAATGGCCTGGACAAAAATTAAGTATGAAAATTAACAAAGGGCCATAACTCAAAAATTAAGAAATGCAGAGTACCGATTCTTGTGCACTGCACTTCTTAATAATGAGATCTATCATCCTATGAAGTTTCAAGTCCATAGCTTTTATACTTAAGGAGAAATGGCCCGGACAAAATTAAAGTATGAAAATAAACAAAGGGCAATAACTCAAAAAAATAAGAAATGCAGAGTACCAGTTCTTGTGCACTGCACTTCTTCTTAATGAGACCTATCATCCTATGAAGTTTCAAGTCCATGGCTTTTATACATTAGGAGAAATGGCCCGGACAAAAATAAAGTATGAAAATTAACAAAGGGCAATAACTCAAAAATTAGGAAGTGCAGAGTACTGGTTCTTGTGCACTGCACTTCTTAATAATGAGATCTATCATCCTATGAAGTTTCAAGTCCATAGCTTTTTTAGTTGAAGAGAAATGGCCCGGACAAAATTAAAGTATGAAAATTAACAAAGGGCAATAACTCAAAAAATAAGAACCGCAGAGTACAGGTCCTTGTGCACTGCACTTCTGGTTATTGAAAGAAGCATGCATACCAAGTTTGAAGTCATTCAGACTTATAGTGACTGAGTTATGCTCCGGACAAGCTTTAAGGGACGCCGACAACGACGCCGACAACGACAACGACACAGACGCCGCCGCCGACACCGCCGACAAAAGTAACCCCTATATGTCACCTTTTCAAGGCGACACAACAATTAAGTATATCTACACAAAGATATGTTATAACAATGAATTGGATAGGAAATAAAAACAACATTTATAAGTTTCTGATTACATGAATTAATCCATAATAAATTAAAAAGGAATTCAAGTAATAATATAATGTCAATATTTATAATGTTTGTTTGTCTATATACATGTTTAAAGTGTAATCTTTTTACCTGGAGTCAGATGGTCCCGACTAGAATATCTAAGAAGATTTATGTTTATACACTTATTATTATTCAATATATGATAATATACTATAAATACAAATAATAAATGGTAAACAAAACCTTCCTATTTAACTAATATTGATTATATAATTCAGCATGGCAAGAAAAGAAGTACATGTATATGTCAGTTGTAGAAATTTATATTAGACAATTACACTAAATCTTTATATAATATAATGACTTATTTTCTTTTAACTCTCTCAAAGCAAAACAAATGGTGTAAAGATAAGAATTAAATTACATAGTACCTCTATCATTTCAATAAGTTGACAAAGAAAGCAAGTACAAAAAGATGTATTATAACCTAGATTGTTAAAACAAAGCAATCTTATACACAGGTATTTAAAGATAAAGTTGTAGTACTTCTATGTACATGCAAAAGGAAAAGAAGGCTTTTAGTGACAATATTTACATATGTATTAAAATAAAACAAAAAACAAACAATACAAGGAGTCATTGTTTTTTACTGATCTATAGGCAGTGCTGTAGTCAACTGTTCTGTCACTAAATGCTGTTTTTTAACTACTTTTTCTCCCACGGAATTCACTGATCATGTTATTTATATTGTCATATATGTCAAATTTTATGCGCTCACTGCATTTTGTTTGTCCATAAACTGACCCATTGAAATACCATGCATTTTCAATCTCTGGATGCATTGATAAGCGACTGATCAGTCCTTGGTTAAGCCTGGTAACATCGTCTACCAAGCGGTGTCCAGCAGCCTTCATTGCACCTCTTTTTCGCATAAGTGTGGATTTCAGGGTGTTATTTCTGAGTTTGAAGAGCACTGGTCTGATAAGACCCTTCTTTGTGGGTATTCTGTGCATAGCAATGAAATCCTCTGGTTTAAGGGTGACGCCAGATTTGGTCTGTATGAGATTTGTGACAGTGGTCATTAAGCTCTCTTCTGTTTCCCTGGTCTCTTCCGGAATATTCAGTATTTTAGCATTGTTCTTTCTCGAGTACTGCTCATTATAGTTTGATCTTTTGTTTGCTTCCATGCTAGCGTTGTAATTTTTGGTAATTTTTTCTTCAAAATCTCGTAATTTTTCTGCAGTTTTATTTTCAAGATCAGAGAGTTTTTCTTTCAGGGAGTTGTTTTCAAATTCAAGACTTTCTATTTTATCATCTAGATATTTTGTTCTTTCATTAACAAGGGTAGAAACATGTGCCTGCAACTTCGTTTCTAAGCTGGTCACAATGTTGGTGACTGTAGTTTTTATCAAATTTTCCACCTCATCTTTCTTGAGAATACTTTTGAGATCCCCCCTCAATTCAGCTATGTTTTTGTTCATTGAATCTAACTGTTCTGTTATATTATTTAGTTCATCCATACTATTATTGCTGTTGTTACTAGTATCTGGCTGAAACCTTTTCACTTGAGGTTTTGTTGATGCCTTCTGGCTACCACTGAATGTCAATTTTGATTGCTCCTTTTTATTTCCACTCATGATCGTTGAATAATGGTATAATAATCCAAGTATACAATATTGTCCAAGATAATCCTTTTAAATCCAATCTATTGAAATCACTACTGAACCAGTACTGTTATTATATTCAGGAGAGTAAAAAACTTCAGAAAAACTATTTTTAAATCCCACCAGGGTACATCTCAAGACTGTTGAAAAAAACTAAATTCTCTATTTTTAGTCTTGCAGAACAAAGGGAAAAAAACTTTTTCTCTAATATCTCCAAAACCAAAAATAGTTTATATCCAATATTTTAAGTCCAAATTCATTTTATATTCATAATGCTTTTAGATTAAAAATCCATAATTTAATGTCACTATTTATTAATATTTTGATGGTATTTTGCAGAGCAATGATTAGCCAAACATCACTGCTCAATAGCCTAAGGGAAAAATTTTAAGTGAAGAAGTAAATAAAATTATGTAAGCTAAAATGTGTTATTCAATTATAAACCAAACATTTGTCAATCACCAGAAGCCTAAGTTACCATTTCAGTAAGAATTTCTAAAACATTTGCCATATTTTTTTGTGCAGTATTATAAACTGATATTTAAATCAATCTTAGAAATCTTGTAACCTTTGTAGTACTTGTTTCAACACTATGATGCTAAAGTAATACTAACCTTGGACTTAGTCTACATATAACTCTCTCACGTCCTTTATTTTCTACCCAGTTATGTGACAGTCTTAGCTGCTCCTTTATACACGGACTTGTCAACTGTCTGAAATAATAGCATACATCTAATGAAACGGATTAGTTTACTTATAATTATTCTTTTAAATTAAGGATGTTCTAAGAAGAGGCTTCAATATGAAACCACCAAGTACTATCTTCGTTTTTCAATTTAAAAAAAAAATGAAAAAAATTTCCCAATTCATGCTAGCAGCCTTTTCCCAAGATAGCTGAAAAAGGTCAGGACTGTGTTTTTCTTTACTATCCCCATACTGGCACAGTTTCATCTGTATCAAAAAGGTTAATCTCGTAACCATGTGATTAAACATTTTGGCAAGATAGTGGTGGAGTGCTGATTTTTTTAACGCCTGAACTATATTAGGCCCAAAGTTAGTTATTTACATGTTGATACTTCTAAACAGATAATATAAATAGTTTTATCTGAATATGCGTCACTTTACTTCATATCTTACTCGGTGATAGAATACCAGCATGCCAGATTCCTGTTATCCATTCCATCCCAAGGACGTAGACAGTCAGTGTGTCAAGCCAAGCGCTTAGAAAAGTTAAAAGGTGAAATTAAAGAAGACAACACATCTCAAATAAATAGTGGGAAATATAAAAGTAAAAGCAGCCTAGCAATCTATTACCGTGATATATGCTCAATTTGGCAAACAGTAAATGGCTAGAACAATAATATTCATCATTAAAACTGATGTAAATTGATAGAATTTGGATAATTATTATGAATTAAAGAACTTTTCTTCTTTATTAATTGCATTTAAAAGTTAGAGTCAGACACTGTTGAACCTAAAAAAAAATTAAAAAATGTGTTGATGTAATTTTGTGTTGATGTAAATCAAATGCTTAAATAAACTTTATTGAGCAACTAGTACTTCATTAAATATCATCATAGCGATTTTCAAATACACATTTGATTATTTTCCCCTGCCATATACATGTATATGTTATATGCATGTACATATAAAGGTGTACATGTATATTTTGTGAAATAAAATTAGAAAAAAAATCCAATGATATAACTTGATTTCATGATCACTTCTCACTAATTTGCCTAAATTTCAAAACTTCTCCCTATTTTTCCTGAAGAGAGAAGTCACTTCTCCCTAAATTTTCAGTCCAAGGTAGTCCCTGGCCATATTGTACTGGTTGAACTGGTTAAGTTTGGGCAATGAAACAATAATAGGGGGTAGGCTGTTTCACACTGTTCTGGTGGTGTTGGTTGTTTATCTTTGGGATCATGGCAGAAAGCCACACTTAATTTACCAGGGCACAGCTCAGCCAACAAATCATTCCTGAGCAAGCTGTCAACCGGTTCACCGGTTACACAAGGTGTTCACTAGCAATGAAATTCTGAGGGTCATTATGTCATAGTATAGCGTTTGACTGACTGAATGTAATTGATTCCACTTTGCCGGCCGTGCTGATTGATACGGCGAAAAAATTTAAACAGAAAAGTGTCTTAGAAATACAAACACAGGCTTTCCTTTGATTTTGTTTAATGTCATTAGGTCTGACAGATTTCGTTCTGGTCCGACAGATTTTCATGGTATGTCAGCAGTGTTGCATCTAGGCCACGCGATTCGCGCATACTTTTTGCAGACCTCGCATTTTACTTAAGTCAGTACACGCCAAGCCACGCATCAAAGTTCAAACAATCTTTATAACTTAATTATATATTTTTCAAAATAGGAAGAACAGATAAGACATGCATAATCTCAGATAGGGGCACATAAGAATACTGCTGTAAATTTTCACTCTAGATGGTAAATTTTAGATCCTACAAAAATTTTAATGAGCAGGATTTTAACAAAGACCTGTCACAAGTACCATTTCATGTAGCTCAAATATTTGACGACGTTGACGACATTTATTGGGCTAATGAAACCTTATTCAAAGAAGTAGTAAATTAACATGCACCAATCAAACAAAAAAAGGTTAAAAAAGAATCTCCCCTTTTATGAATGGAGAACTCCGCAGAGCCACATAATATATAAAAAGAAAACTTAGAAACTCATTTTTTAAATATAGAACATTTAAAAAATGGGAAAAATATATATGAAACAGATATAAATCTAGTTACAAAACTTAAAAGAAACTCAATGCAAATATATATTTTTTGAAAGGTGTGGTGGGGGACCAAAGTCAAAACATTTCTGGCCTACTATAAAACCTTTTCTTTCTAGTAAAATACAGCCAAAAATGATGCTCAAATTATATTAAATGAAAATGATACATTAATAACAGATCAAAATAAGGTATGCAACATACTTAATGATTTTTATGTTAATATAGCTCAAAATATTGGTATCAACAGTGATATAATGATTAATGAACAACACCCTAGTGTACAGGCTATCTCTGATAAAATCCAAAGCAATAATAATTTTGTATTTAAACCTGTTACATCTCAGGAAGTGCATAAGCTTCTGCACAGTGTGGATGGTAAGAAGGCCACAGGTATTGATAACCTACCTCCAAAAATTATAAAAGCAGGTGCTGAATCTCTTGCGGAGCCTATAAAATGTATAATAAATAAATGCTTTATTAATAATACTTTTCCGGAGTCCCTGAAAATGGCTCAGGTTACTCCAGTTTATAAAAAAGAAGATCCTTTTCAAAAGAAAAATTATAGGCCTGTAAGTATTCTGCCCACTTTCTCGAAGATTTTTGAACAATCAATAAATAAACAACTAGTATCATACTTTGACAACATTTTTCATAATTTTCTGGCAGCTTTTAGATCTAAATTTGGATGTCAAACTACTCTCTTACGGCTAATAGAAGACTGGAAAAATGCCTTGGATAGACATGAGTATGTAGCAGCAATACTCATGGATCTGTCAAAGGCATTTGACTGTCTCCCACATGACTTGATCGTATTGAAACTTAAGGCCTATGGCTTATCTGACACAGCTGCAGAACTTATGCACAACTACCTGTCAAATAGAAAACAAAGGGTTAAACTTGGTAAAGCATGCAGTGACTGGATGTCAATAAGTAAGGGAGTTCCCCAGGGATCCATCCTATGGCCTCTTATTTTAACATCTTTATTAACGACATCTTTTACTTTAATAAATCAGCCACTGTGTACAATTATGCTGATGACAACACATTATCTTACTGTGATACCAATATTGACTCTTTACAATCTGTACTGGAAAATGAAAGTTTATCTATGATAAAATGGTTTGATAATAACCTAATGCAAGCCAATCCGGACAAATTTCAGGCAATTTGTATTGGAAAACAAACAACTAGTAAATTAACCTCTTTTTGTCTAAATAGCACAGAAATTGTCTGTGAAAAAAACGTGAAACTTCTTGATGTTGAAATAGACTCTTTACTAAATTTTGACTTACATGTATCTAACATTTGCAAAAAGGCTACAAAACAAATCAACTTTCTTGCTAGACTGAGTAAATTCTTAAATCAAAATACTAGATTGTTAATTTACAAATCCTTTGTTCGTTCAAATTTTAACTATTGTCCTTTAGTTTGGCATTTTTGTAGTAAACAAAATACTGAAAAACTTGAAAAGTTACAACATAGATCATTGAAGATAGTTTTTGAGGATTACAGCTCATCATATGAATTTCTTTTAAGTAAAGCTAATATGCCAACTTTACATATCAGTAGATTAAGACAATTAGCTATTGAAGTTTTTAAATGTTTGCAAAATATATCACCAAAATATGTTCAAGAACTAATTAGAGCAAATTCCTCTTATTACTCTTTTAGAAATAACAACACACTTGAAGTTCCTAGAGTAAATACAGAGACTTATGGTAAGAAAAGCTTTCGCTATGAGGCCACCCAGGTCTGGAATAGCCTCCCGAATGAACTAAGAACAGAAACTGATCACGGTGAATTTCAGAGGCTTATCCAAACCTGGAGTGGCTTCAAATGCAAATGTTCTATGTGTGCCTAAGTGTTATGTTTTTTGTTGAGTTTTGAAATATGAATCAAATGAATCTGCATGCTTCTTTTGTTTCTTCTTTTGTTTTTCCTGTATTTCTGTCTGCCATAGAGAAATGCTGTATAAGACCTGTTTTATCATGTAATGCTTTTCATGTGCTTCTTGTGTGTATATTTGTATAGTCAGTTGTCAGTGCATGTTAGTGTTTGTATATGTGACAGCTGCTGATCAGCTTTTCATATATCCCATAAAGGGGACAATAGCTTCTTTAAGTCTATTTTTACCTTTTTATTTCTACTTTTATTTTATTTTGGTTCTAATTAATTAAGTAATTAACTTAGACCATGAATTTATCTAGGCCAACTCAGATCAGCATCTGTTACACAAACATTTCAACATTTTAAGTTTTATTATTATGATACTTGTACATGTTTTAATTACACCCATATTTTCATGACTGAGTACATATCAGATGCTGCTACTGATATGTGCTCAAGCATCATACTGGAAATTGGGTCAACTATATTTAAATAAAATAAAATTGAATCATTTACTTTAATTTATTTTAAAAATTTAATTTTTTTCAAAAAATTCTAATCCTTTTTCTGATTTTAGGGTTGTGTACATAAATAGAATTCTTGTATGATGTAATTTTATGTGATGTTTGATTGTAATGTATATTTGCTTTTAATCATTTAATGCTTTCTTAACCATATTTATATGTGCTGATAAATCTTAACTGTTTTACAGAGTCTTTCATAAATGTATCTTCTTAATACTTTTATATATTTTCTTTTATACAGATTGTTTGTTTGAATTGTTATAGGATAATAAGTTTTGTCGGAAAATAGCTTATATAGCTAATGTTTATATGTTTTTATGAAACCGACTTTAAATAAAGATTATCTTATCTTATCTTTTATTATCTTATTGACGGTTGACCTGTGCACTTAACTAGTATTCATCAATTATTCAATATCTTATTTTTTGTATGTATTTCTGTTCTTGAGCAGTTGATTGCAAAAATGCCTAAACATAAAATTAATGAATTTTTTTGGTAAGTCAGTATTTGTTTTCTGATAGTTTTACAACAAAATGCAATTTTAAAATGATCATATTGTTGGCAAATGCTTGTCCCCAACTTTTTTTTCAAATCCCCGGGGCCCCCTCATTTTTCTGTTGAGTGGGGGACAATAATATGAAACATTGGATGTCAGACCAAATGTCTGACGCCTTTTTTTAACTTTCGGGAAGTCTGTTCACTGTATAGATACAAATATTTAAAATCACCTGTTATAGCTTGAGCAGGTTCTTTTCTGTGGCAGAGTTGATGATCCAATTAAATTGTTAAAATTTTTATAAGGACGCCATACTGAATCTGAGAGAATGAGTGTGTTCAGTTTACTGCAAACTTGACAAAGTCTGCCAAGACTTCTTATGTCACATTTCTGCAAAATGGCGTACAAGACATCGTCAGGTAGATCTATGAACCCGACGTTGGCGACATGGTTTAAAGAAACACCGAGCTTTCGGGGACAAGATTGTCTACCCTCCAAATGCAATTCCTGGGATCCAACTGTATCCATTTCTACTTTTCGATTCTGTTTTTGAAAAAAGATAATTTCCTTTAAATGAAGCATTCATTTTAGCCTTGGTTAATAAGAATTTCATAAATCTTTAAATTGTGAAATACCCATTTTGTTTTGTTTACTAAATTCTTAATCTTGTTCCGGTATGCTATATCCTGTACCATCCGTACCGTACCGTACTGTACAATAAAGGTTGCGCGCTACTAAAACATAATGTTCATATTTTTATATTTGAACACTAAAGAACGCCTTTGAAATTGATTTTTCTTTTAATGGCACATTTAATTGACAAAACCTTAAAAAAAATTAAGGATCAATTATTTGATCTAGAAAATCAGGCACCCAACAAATACAATTATCAGGTAGTCTGATGTTTCACCCCAGCATGCCTAGAAACGATTCGGAGGCTGAACTTGCTTTTAATGTGGCTTTCTGCCATAATCTGGAGTGTAAACTACCAACATCACCATCATCATTTAATACTGATAAAGTAAAAACACGGGAGTTCAGTTTATTATGTAAACATATTTGAGGGTCTGAATGTATCAAAATGCACTTAAGAACACCTTCATTGTCCAAATCTTCATTTCTTGTATAGAAATGGACTCATAAAACATTTGCAGTAATCGTATACATGACATACATGTATGTAGATGATGCTTATAAACGTCCAATTGTGAAACTTAATTTAATGAACTTTTTTTGCCACGCTTTAAAAATTCAATTAAAGCCGTGATTATGCCGAGAATTGGCCAATTTTGCACGAACTCGGAAGAGACAAGAAAACACCACTGGATGGTATACGCATTTGACTACTTCAATAAAATTTGACTACTACAATTAAATTTGACTACTTCAACTTTTACCACTGTTCCTGTCATTTATGATTACATTTTTTTTATCTTGTGAACATAAAAATACATTAACAAGTAAAGACTTAAGAGTTTAATACTATAAATGTTATGAAAGAGGTTATAGTTTCTACACTGGTGACAAAGGTTAGTTTCTCTACTGGTGGCACAGGCTAGTTTCTATACTGATGGCACAGGCTAGTTTCTATACTGGTGGGCGACACAGGTTAGTTTCTTTAGTGGTGGCAGAGGTTAGTTTCTATACTGGTGGCAGAAGTTTGTTTCTATACTGGTGGCAGAGGTAAGTTTCTATACTGGTGGCAGAAATTAGTTTATATACTTATGGCACAGGTTAGTTTCTATACTGGTGGCAGAGCTAAGTTTCTATACTGGTGGCAGAGGTTAGTTTCTATACTGGTGGCAGAGGTTAGTTTCTATACTTGTGGCACAGGCTAGTTTCTATACTGGTGGCAGAGGTTAGTTTCTATACTGGTGGCAGAGGTTAGTTTCTATACTGGTGGCAGAGGTTAGTTTCTATACTGGTGGCAGAGGTTAGTTTCTATACTGGTGGCAGAGGTTAGTTTCTATACTGGTGGCAGAGGTTAGTTTCTATACTGGTGGCACAGGCTAGTTTCTATACTGGTGGCACCGGCTAGTTTCTATACTAATGGCAGAGGATAGTTTCTATACTGGTGGCAAAAGGCTAGTTTCTATACTGGTGACACAGGCTAGTTTCTATACTGGTGGCAGAGGTTTGTTTCTATACTGGAAGCAGAGGTTAGTCTCTATACTGGTGGCAGAAATTAGTTTCTATACTGGTGGCACAGGCTAGTTTCTATACTGGTGGCAGAGGTTAGTTTCTATACTTGTGGCAGAGGTTAGTTTCTATACTGGTGACAGAAATTAGTTTCTATAGTAATGGCAGAGGTTTGTTTCTATACTTGTAACAGACTAGTTTCTATACTGGTGGCGCAGAGGTTAGTTTCTATATTGGTGACAGAGGTTAGTTTCTATACTGGCTGCAGAAGTTTTTTTTCTATACTGGTGGCAGAAATTAGTTTCTAT